TTTTTTTTTTTTTTTGAAAGAAAATTTTTAGATTATTATTTATTCTAAAGCTTTATGACATTATTATTCACATCATTGGTAATGTAGGTAGTTATATTACACTACACCACCAAACCACACACCACGACATGACCATAATTCTTAACAAGTTTTTGCTATTCATATACAATAAAGCAGATTTAACAATCTGAATTTTAAACTAAAATAATAAACTATAATGAACATACTTCGGGCTACATTTCAGGGAATCTATAGTTGGCGAGATTTAATGTAATGTGTGGTTTTGTTTTTGAGAGAATTAAATATTTATCTTTAGCAACTGGCCTTTGTATCACCAAGACACAATCGGATGTATACCCACAAAATGGCGAACTCGAGCCCGGTCTCAAAGATTGTAAACAAATTAACGTTGGTCATCCCAGACGTCTCGCCAGAAATCCTTTTTGTGACACTTTATGGCCCGCTATAAGGGCTGTAGTGCGTTCGGAAATGGAACAAAGGGTGGGCGTCCATTGAATTGGACTCAGGGCTCTCATCTGGAAGTCCAGATCTCACCCACCCCGACCCCCTACTCTGTAAGGAATCTGGATGGCTAAAGAACAAACGCTGTACACAATAAACGACAAATGCGAGAAAGGGAAAGAAAAAAACAGGCTCCCCCAACAGAGACACAGTGTTTACGCAAATTATTTTGCCTTACAATTATTAAAATCGTGAAACGTTTTTCACATTTTCTTCCATTTTTTCTCGCGTAGTGTTTGCTTTACAGCCATTTAGTTCTTAACCTTCAGAAATGTATACCCTATAAAGTTTTATTACAGTCATATTATTTTATTGCGGCACACCACATTGAATTTCTTTCTCTTTTTTTATGACAGTCGACTTCCCATTTCCTCCGAACATCGAGCGTACATCCTTTCTGCAGTTTGTTTCCTTTCAAAACACCAAAATAAAGGGCGTTAGTGGTGTGGCAGGACTCAAAATCTCTTCTCATCCCTAGAATCACCAGGACAGACTTTATGCTGAATTAATATGTGACGAAGGCTGAGTTCGTGCACACATCTGTGAGCCAGGACAACTGGCAATGTCTTCAAAAATATTTAATTGTTACAATCTGTTGAATGCAGATCTTTTTTAAGCTGTCTCCTTTCTCTTCTAATTTGCAATTGCATCAATTACATAATTGTTAGAATTTTGACCGTCTAAATTTGTAGTCAAATCATTGTATTTTTTGTAGTCTTATTCTATTTTTTAATCCTACATATGACCAGATTTGCCATCGCATTTGATACTACACTCTAATTTTCTCTGCTAACAGTGGGACTCTAGTCTTACATTATCGAGTGTCTAGAACTTCAGAGTCTGAAACATTTAGACCTACCTTATCCCTTTTAGTTTGCATAATGTATCATGCATCGCCTCTGCAGGCAAAATATCCTTCTTGACTTCTGATGCATAACTTACATCTGGAGGATGCGGTACAGCCAAATATAACACCACAAATATCATAGGGGAATCAAATAATACGTTAAGAAGAGAGCCAAAGCAGTGATGAGTCATTGTTATTCTCGGTAATTCTTCTTTCCACATGTGAGCTGCACGTTTCTTCATTCCGATTCAAGATGAATGCTCGAGAGCACGATAGCATATT